AAAATTAAAACCCATTTTGTCTCTATTCTCAAGAATCACATGATGATTTTAACATGGAACTTACTTTTTTTAAATAGATCTTTATTGAGATACAGAATACATAACAGTATTGTAGCGGCTAAAGGGTGCTGTTATGTTATGTGTTTTTCCCATGAGGCTTAGCGGCAGAGAAAAGAGCCGAACCGTGAGCGAAAAGGCCATCTGTCCGAATCAAAAGACCTGTGTAAGCCTTCAACTTATGTTAGAGTATAAACGCAGCATGTACTGTGGTATAATGTTCGCCAGGGAGTTACAAATATTCAGACCATTACATTATATAAATGCATTAAAGAGAGAACATTAAAAAGACAACATAAAGACCAAAGTTTTAATTGTTTTGGGGAACTTACCTTGATAAGCTCCAGACAAGACGCCATACTGCTGTCTCCAAGGCAAACACGTGACGTCACAGATACGTTGCGATTGTGGGGGCAACTCTTTAGCAAACACCATCTCTTTAGGGAAACTGACAAACCTATCTTTGAATTTGACTAAACAAGTGTTTAATTAACATTGTATTTTTAACAAACAACACCAGCACTGGTATTCTAACATTTTTGATTATGCTCTGTAGATTTCGATTCATTCCCTAAAAGATTTATTATGGAAAGTATTTTTTTTCTTTCCGTTTAATATTGTCTTTAAATGCTGGTTCTCTAAGATGCAAATACAAGTAAAATGTCTTTCCTGGGAACAAAACTGTATTGTACAATTATTTTACGGTAGTTTACTGCCAGTCATCAGTCTTGATTGTGACAACAGAAGAAGACATCAAATTGACAATATCCTACCGTATTTTGGAATAACAGTATGTTACTGCTGGAATTCCACCGTAAATTTACAGCCATTTCTAAGAGTGTAGGCAGCCACACAGCCGCCTACTGGGCCACCTACTGTTAATGGTGTGTTTCCACTGGTGTAATGGAATAAGAGGCGTTTAAAGACATGAGGACATTCAGGTTTTACTGAACTGTAAATAAATCCTTCAGTCGCTAAACATCTGGAAAGAGTCTCCAGCTGAGGGGAACCAGAGAGACGAAGGTCAGAGAGCAGCTGCTGCATCCAGTTTTGACATAAACGCCTCTAACAGACATTAAATTGGTTGTTGGTGTTTTACCATCATTTGTTTGTTGTAGTTTTTGAGCCGGAGTGTAACAATAAATAGGAGAAAGAAGAGGCAGACGCCTCCTGATCTTCATAAAGCAGGAAATGACCAGAGGTTTCATTTATAAACTTTGTCTTCACACCAAACGGTACCTGAAAGTGGCTTATGTCTGTTTCCAATCAAAGGTTCTGATCTATAAATCACAAACTGGATGGGAAAATGTGATGATGTGATGATGTGATCCCTCCCATCGTCTCTGATCGAATGTTTGGTTTGGAAACAGAGGGAAACAGTGACTCTGATGGCGAGATGGAGAAATGAATCCATGTTCCATCAAGATTCCCTCAGACCTTTAGTTACGTTTCAAACTTTAACCATAGATTGACACAGAGTGATATATGTTTATCCTGCTTAGCCATAGATTTATGAGAACGTTTCAAATAAACAGAAAAGTCTTAAAGTCGGCCTCAGTCCTGAACCAAAGTCTGCACAATATTTAAAGGGCCAGTATCACATAAAATCATTTTTTTAGCTTAACCTCAGATTTTAAAGTTATTCCTTCATCAAAAACATACCTGGATTGTTGCCATGATTCTTTCATAATCTCCATGGCAACCATTCAGCTGTGCTAAACGCCTGGGTGGAGCTAGCTTTAAATCCATCTCCTCCTCTGAGCTCCAGTTTCCAGGTTTCTACCTCACAGAGCAGCTCCTTCAGACTAGCCAGCAGCAATTAGCAAACACCTGCTGGAACCGCAGAGTCATTATAGGAGCTGCTGCTCAGAGAACAGTGGTAAAAGGCATAATGGAGGAGCATTGTTGTGATGATGTACTGTAGGTGTTGGAAAGATTATGAGCTTCTTAAAGAGACAGAGGCCAATTTCAAGGCTTCAGATTGAAAACTCCAATTTCTTTCATATACGTATCATTTTCAGAACAACTGAAAGTAATAAAATCACATTAAGTGGATTCTTGTCTTTTGGTTGTTTGTACATTTTCAGTATGAAGGAGGTGGTATGAGTGAAGTCATACCAGCACCTCCAACAGCAGCTTCTGCTCTTAGAAACAGAATAAACATGTTTCCAAAATATATTAACTTATTAATAAAATGCTTTTACCACCAGTTAAAATACTTTATACAACAAACGCAATGAGCTGGAAAACTCAGTTAAACTAATAAAAGTGGAAGAATGACAAAAAATAACTATCAAAATTTAGAAAAAGGAAAAATTAGAAGTAGAACCAAAGACTAATAAAATAATAAAAGACCTTAAAAATAAGTATAAATATGTTTGTTTCAGAACCAGTTTTTTTACTTTGTAATCAGGTTAAATTAGTTTTAATTTAATTAATGTTCAATTTATTAAAAAAAACAATAAGGAGAAGTTCAAACAAGTTAAAATGTATAAAAATATTATTCTGTTTTATTTTAAAAAATATCTTAATTAAAAGGATTCTTCATTTAATTAACTCTCGTTTTGTCTGAAGCTGTGATTCAGTGGTATTTATTTTTATATCTACATTTTAATGACGAAGTCGACACGTTTGTCATATTCAGCTTCTAGGCATCACAGATCTGGAACAAACTTCTGTAAAACTGTAAAACAGCCAAAATACTGAGAATCTTTAAATCTGGAATAAATCAACTGAAACATCATGAATGAAACATTGATCAACATTTTATATGTGTAATTATGGCAAATGGAAAAATGTAATGCTTCAGTTATATATTTTTGTGTTTTATGATGTAAAGCATGTTGACCTGAAATGTAATACACAAATAAAATCTGATTGATTGATTGATTGATTGACTCAGAGAGTTTTCTTGGACTAATATTGTGGATTTTATTAACATATAAATATATTTACCACAAGTTTCAGTAAGTTGATGTTGATCATGTAAATTGTGGTTTTTTTAAGCCTCTTATTGTTATTATTTTTCAGAAAACGATCCGCCTGCAGTCATTTCCACCGTGACGACAGATGAAGTCAGTTATGGACAGATAATCATCAGAGAAACCAGGAAAAGAGGTAAAACTTCTCTAAATACATAAATGATCACAAATTAATCTTATTATTCAGATCTATAATGTGAGAGAGAAAACAAAAACACAAAATCCTGATGTTGAATAAAACTGGATTCCTCTGAATGGCAGAAAAACTAATTATTTTGTACAGATTTATATTTTCTAAATATAAGCAATGTGCACCAGATTTCTGCTTTTATTATTTATAATAAATGAAGGCATAAGCTTTAAAATAATAAAAAACACATCACAGCTGCTTGAACTGAAGCACCAACAAGCCAAAGCTTGAAAATAAACAAATAAAGAAAATAACCAGTTATTCTGGAAAATCTACAAATTTACAGATATAAAGCTAAAAAACACAATGAGATTGGATCATAGATTACGTTTCATTTCATTTATTCATATGGCACCAAGTGATAACTTGTTGTTTCTCTGGGGCTTTAAATAAACTGATGTATTTACATTTACAGTCATTTCAGTTCAGTCACATAAACTCAGAATCGTTTCATTCCAGTTGATTCTCCTTACAAACCAAAGCAGTTCAGGTTCAGTTTGGGTTTATTTTTAGTTGATTTCATGTTTTTCTTTTCAGATTACAAACCAGAACCAAAAGTTGTTTATTCCACCCTGAGGTAATCCTCCAGCAGGAAGCCCCACTGGTCTAGTTAAAGCACAGAACCATCAACTCCTGGTGAATAAGTTTATCTGTCTGAAGAACCAAATGAATGTATTTAATGTTTCATTCTCATGTTTCCAGTCACTGTTTTATTTTAAATGTCTGAACTGTTAAAACCTCAGCAGCTTCAGCCTGTTGAACCAGTTTAACAAGTTTAACCAGTTTAACAAGTTTAACCAGTTTAACCAGTTTAACCTGTGAAACCTGCGGTTCTGCAGCTTGTTGCTAACAAACATGATGTTCCTGTTTCTGTCTGCGGCTCGGCAGTGGAAACTTTTATTTACAGCAGCAGGTGAGAAAAACTAAACCAAAACCGCAGAACAAACCTGTTAAAACAAACAAAATCCCTGAGTGTGTGAAACCAAAGCAGAACCTTCAGGATGTTTATTGATTATATATAAAGAAAATCTGCAATAAACTGCAGTTAATGTTAAATTCACTGTTTCTGCATTCAGAACATATTAGCTAAATGCTATGTGAGGTTTATTCCTGTCATAATGAAGTCCAGTTGGTTCGGTTGGTTCTGGTTTCTCATTCAGACCAAAGTTCAGCCATCAGAGGATTTAAACTGAAGATAATCTGCAGGTTGGTGACATCATCAGCTCTGCAGATGCTAAAACATGCTAACCTGAATCATGCTAAACTGATTCAGGTTTAATTTACTGATTAATTCTGATTCGACGAGCTGAAGTTCTTCACTTTTATTCTGCTTGTTTTAATTTGATATATTAAAGTTTTTTGAAAATGTATTTTTACTATAAATGTGTGAAATGTCCCTTTAAAATAAGCAATTGTAAATCAATAATCACAAAATGCAGCTGCTGAAAAATGATCCAAACTTTTTTTTGAACAATTTCATGTTTCATTATTACATAATAATTAAGTGGAAGGAAAATTATGGATTTGAAAATGTTTTTATAAATAAATAATCTGAAAAGTGCGGCATGCATCTGTATCCAGCTTTTTTACTTTAATATTCCTGAATAAAATCCAGTCCAAGCAGCATGAAGTCATTTTATTTATAAAACCAGTTTATCTGAGTCCAGATGTTCAGTTTCTGGTTCCACAGGTTCAGTCGAGAACTAAATGACATGTCAAAGGTCAAAGGTCAGATCTGATGTGTTCCTATGCAGCTCAGCTCTGGTGTTTCCTCTGGTTCTCTGCTAATGTTTCTGTTGGCATCAATATATTTATGAAAATGTTTGATTTGAAAATGGAAAAAAGAAAATAAAACAGCTGAGAATTGAAATTTCAGCAAAACTGAATCATAATAAAAGATGGTTAGAAATTAAAATATTTTAAACTTTCTCTTCTGTAATCATTGAACATGAACCAACCCAACAGCAGAGCTGCTGTTTATTTCTGTTTATATGAAGAAAAATTCAATGTAAAATAGTTCAGTTTATTCCTGTTTTTACTTATAGGTACAAATATACTCCAAAATGTGAATTATTTTAACAATGCCAGCAGTTCAGCAGATAGAACAGCAGCAGGTTTGGCCAGGAAGTGATGTCATCGATCATGTGACCTCTGGTTGGAGAGAAGAAGCTTCATCTGAAGCTCCTGCTAACAGGAAGGCTCACGGTTAGCAGTGATGCTAAGTTAGCATAAAACATGTTAGAATAAACTCTATAATGAAACATGAGATCAGAACCAGACAGAACATCTGTTCTAATGATGATGATGATATGTGATGAAGCACATCTGACCAGTCCCAGTAGATCTGGACTCCAGTTCTCCCAGTGGATCTGGACTCCAGTTCTCCCAGTGGATCTGGACTCCAGTTCTCCCAGTGACTCTGCCTGGATCAGACTGGAGGGTTTCACTGGTTTCGATCCAGTTGGTTCCTCTGAGCTCCAGCTGCAGCTTTAAGAATCCTTCATGTTTTACCATCAACCATCAGTGAATTAAAGGCATCATGTCTGATCAACCAGAGGATCAATAATCGATCAATAAACCTGCTGCTTGATGGGATCCAGAGACAAACATCATTTATCTTCATGAAGCTTTTAGAACATTTCAAATGTTAAAACGTTCCTGAAGTTCAGCAGAATGAAAAGATGAAGGGCTGATATTTCTACAGGTGATCCAGGCTCTGCTGCCACCTGGTGGACAAACACTGCAGGTACACATCCAGGAAATCTACAAAATAAAAAAATATTCAGCTTTGCTATTTTTTCTCATTTATTTTAGTAAATCATCAAAAAGTTTAAATAAAATTATAAAAACTTTTAGGAAAGAACAATAACTTCCCTCAGAAAGTTCAGCTCTTCATTCTGACCTCGACCAGTCAGACTAAACCAGGGGTTTCCTACTCCATTCTCCAGGGGCCGGAGTCCTGCAGCTTTAAGACGTCTCTCTGCTTCAGATGGATCCAGTATTAATTCACAGCGTAGATCTGTAGAACTGGACTGATGAGAGTGGGATAGTTAAAGTCAGAGGACTCTGGACCTCGATGAATGTAGTTTGAGTTTGAAAGGGATGGACCAGGAGAGCACGGCAGAGGAGGTGTCATGCTGCGTCCTTCTTCTAGAGAGGAAAGATCTGAAAGGAGCTGCGAGGAAGACGTGCTCCCCCTAGTGGGCAGATGGAGAAGTGACGGTTTAAAACGTGTGAACATTGGAATAAAACACAAACTGAGTTTTTAAAAAATCTCCACTTTGGAAAGATTTAATTCCTCCTCGTTCAGGAAACATCAGAACCAATCGGACCAGAACTATTTCAGTTAGTTTTCATTTGACTGACAGCAGCAGTGAATCTGGTCTGGACTCTGTGGAGGTTCTGGTTCCAGGAGGTTCTGTAGACCAGAACATCTACTCTGTGGTCCAGTTACACTCTGATTCTGGAGAACTGGACCTGGTACTGGAGCTTTAATGCTGCTGTGATAAACATGTCATCACCTTCTGGGTCAAAGTTCACCAACCAGGTTCTGCTGCTTTAAACACTCAACCTCTCCTCCGGTTCTGATGATGAAGAGAAAAACCCAACGACCCGGTCCGGTCCACCTCCAGTACCTCTCATTAGCTCTGTTTACTAAAAATCATATTAATTAAACACCAATTAGATGCAAATAACATTTGAAGAATATAAACTAAAAACATTTAGGTGAGATGAACCAAACTCATTCAGAGTTTGTGAAACAGGTGATTGGACCGTTGGTGTGACATCATTCACAGCTTCAGCCAATCAAAAGGTGCAGAAGAAATTTAATTTAAATTCATTCAGAACTTTTAACCTCAGTAAACCGATGATCTAAACCAGGAAATGTTTTAAAAACAATCCTGATATTAAAAATGGAGGAGAATCTGTCTGCAGTCAGAGCTGGACCGGTCTGTCATGATGAGGAGAGGTCACACTGAGGTCAC